TTGAAGAGCTATGCTGAGTGAGGTTACGGGGTGGCAGACATGGATAGTGTCTTAGTCTGCAGTGCACTGATGTGACCAGCAGAGGGCGTGCGGAGCTTGCAAAATCCGAGCGCTCAGCCAAAGGAAGCGGGAAAGAGCGACTTGAGTCCTCACCTCAGCGCCCCAGGCAGGTACCCAGCCCAGAACCCCGTTGGTAGGCCTTTGAGGGCCTTTGGTTGGGCTTGCAAGGGGTGTGGGCTCGGCCGGACAGTGTGGCCTTGTGTAGCTTTAACCCTCAGCAGTGTGCGCGCTCCGATGGGAAGGAGCCCATGCCTTCCCGTAGAACACAGTCACCAAAAGCAGTATGGAGTGATGAAAAGCTCCAGCTCAGGTCAGGCCTGCGTTCAAGGCCATTAAACAGGCTCAGCCTTGGTTTCCTCTCCGGTCAATGGAGCTCTACGAATCCGTGCATCGCGATTGTGCATGGAAACCTGTTAGCATGGGGTCTGGCCCCAGTATCTGCCCAGTATATGGTAGAAAGAAGGGAGATATGTTCAGGTGTTAAGACCCCAGACTAGGCCTAAGTTTCCCACTTCTGCACCATGAAAGGGTAATACTAGTGGGTCTTGGTCATCCCAGCCATGGCCATGTGAGTCGTCCCTGCACTCATGAAGTAGGTGCTCATGCTGTTAACGAATGATGGCTATTGTTTATTGGGCATTTCCTGACATTTATATAGTATTTAACGGCTTACAGAGCACCTTGTAAGTTCATCGAGGAGCAAATTCAAAGGCCTCCGTGTAGGGGGCTGGGTGAGGGACGAAGGGGCCCTAGATCTGCCCTCAGGGAGCCCACCATCTGGGGGTGGGGCAGAGGGGGCCAGCAGGGGGCGTGTGCTTAGCTGCACCTATCCCAGGGCCCTGGCGGGGCGGGGATGAAGTGAGGGGGTCATATTTCCTGGTCAGAGAGGTTTTTTTAAGGAAGAGCTACCCAAGAATTAGAGGGGAAGAGTGCCCCAGAAAGAATGAGCAGCAAAATGGAAAGGCCAAGGGAGGGTCGGGGAGATTAAAGAAGTGCAGTAAGGCTGGAGGTGGGTGGGGGGCAGTTGAGGCAAGATCTGAAGCGAGTCCTTTGGGAGCACTTCTTGCACACCTCCAGAGGCTGGGAGCCCCACTAGGAGATCCTTGTAGCCCGTCACACCCGCTTCCTTGGACTTGCCAATGGCCACCATGTTTGGAGCATTTCCTATTGCCAGGAGCTCTGCAGAGCGCTTTGTGTGCATTGTTTCATTAAGTCCATGACACAAAGCAGCTGCTATTTGGGTCCCCATTCCCCAGATGAGGAATCTGAGGCTCAGAGAAGCAAAGTCTGTCTAGAGGCCACAGAGCCTGTGAACGGTGGCGCTGGGATGCAGGCCCCTTCCCGGAGCCTCAGTGTTCCCATCTGCAACCTTCGCCCGAAGAGGCTGGAAGGGGCCTGCCTCTGGCGTCTCCGGAGGTCCTACTGCCCTCGGGACAGGCAAGTGGCCGCCCAGGCCAATGCTTGGTGTATCACTTTCAATTCCTGGGAAGAAGGTTAAATACCTCCGAGGGGCCCATTGAAGCAGCCAGGGAGGGGGCGACCGGGTGACTTTCAAAGGGGCCTGAATGCGTGGCCGGCCCCTCCCCCCCGAGGAGGGGGCCCTGCTTCCTCCCAGCCTAATGATATTCTGGGCTCAACCCTCATCTTTGGCTGCAGTTTAACCCGAGCCAGGGCGGATTTCTTTCTCACTGATCTCAGCTTGACACCCAATTAGCACAAGAATGGGAGGAGGAAACCTGTGAGAGGCGCCTCCCAGCCTCCTGGGGCTCACGAGGGGAGCAGGCGGGAAGACAAAGGGCAGCGGGCAGGGGGGCACCCGCGCCCTCGCCTCCCCCTCGGACCCTGCCATTGTCTCCCTAGCAGCTTCAGAGAGGATGGAGGCCGGTGCCCGGGCTGGCCGGCCTGCTGGAGGGGATAGGGGATGGGGCCCATGCCCCTCTTCTGCGTGGATCCCAGGGGAAGGCACTTGGGTGAGCCTACCCATCGGGAGGCGGCAGTGAGGGTGAGTAGGGGCAGTGATCCTGAAGGCACAACAACCTGGGGTGAGCCCCGACACTTAAGACTCCAAGGGCAAGCCACCATTCTGAGCCTCAGTTTTCTCATTTGAAAAATGGGATGTAATGGTCCCTGCGAAGAATCAATCAGGTAATGCATGTAAAGCACCTGGCCGATGCAAAGTGGGCATTCAATAAATACTCATTCAGTGAATATAATAATGTTCAACTATTACTAATTAAAAGGTTGAGTGAGGTAGGCTTAGGGTCAGAAAGAAGGACTTTCTAAGAGTGAGAGCCAGGCAGTCCCAGAATGGGCTGACTTACCCAGAAGTGAGCTCCCAGTCTCTGGGACAATGCAAGGAGAAACTGGAGGGCCCCCTGCCTACTGAGATGTGGGAGGGATTCCTACTTCTCCCGGGAGGGAGGGAACACCTCTGACCTTCCCACTGCCCTCTACCTCCCCAACTCCACCTCCCACAATTCCTTTGGATTTGGGCTTAGAGGTGGCTTCCTTTGGGAAGTCTTCCCTGATCCCAGGGCTGGATTAGGGGCCTCCTCCTGCTCCCACACGCCCTCGTGTTCCCCCCTCATAACACTGATCTCGCTGTGTGGTCGGTTTTTACATGTGTGTCTCCTAGAGCATCGTCACCAGGAGGGCAAGGACCCATTGGTTGTACTGGTGTAGAATTAACCCCTGATTGTTTGCAGAATGTGAAAGAATTCACAAGACTCTGAAAAGTAGGAAAGCAAGGAAAGTTTTATTGAGGGTTGGCCAGAGAGAGTGCCTGTGGTAGTGTCTAAAGAAGACGGCTGCCACAGGTAGTAAGGAGAGAAATGGACAGAGGGGTTGCGAGGCAGACTCTTAGAGTAGACAACTGCAGCACGTTGCTGTTTAGCAGGGGTTTTATATTTTTCTATGCGGGATGCAGGTAGCTAGTCACCTTGCACTTGTTTACCGTTGCTCCTGACCCCTTCTGAGAACTGTTGTCACAGCTGGCTTCCTCCGAAAATTGTCCTGGTATTTGTCAGCCTGCAAGTGTGCCAGCAAGGAGACTCAGAGCTAAGTGGTTCCTCTTTAAACCTATTCTTTCTAGCTCCCAGACTCATCCTTAACTCTTTCTGACTCATCAATTAATATTTAGGCTTATTTCTGTTAGCTCCCAGACTTGTTCTTATGAGTTCTTTTTCTGACTCATCATTGGTTTTGTTCACCATTGTGTTGCCAACACACGCACTGGGCCTGCACTTAATAGGTGTTCAATGAATGTTTATCAAATGGATGATGCTCTTCAGGTGCTCCCTAGCTCTCCCATTCCAGTGCCAGGTGGTGGCAGTTCCCAGCGTCAAAGGATATTCCACTCATAGCAGTGGGCTGGGAACAGAGGCTCTAAGGCCTCTGAATGCCTTCTAGGAAGGCCCTTATCTGGTTGGCAAAGAGAAGCCATTAAATGACTTTGAGCAGGAGAATATGTGTTCATTCATTCAGCAAGCACTTACCAAACCCCTACAGGACAAAGTATAAAATGTATAGTACAAAACTCCTAACCACAAGCTAGGGATCAAAGATGAATCAGGCACGGTTTCTGCCCTGGAGGAACTGGGTCCAATGGAAGGATCCTAGAATAGTTTTGCTGAAAGGACCTTAATAAATCATTTGGTCCTAAACCTTTGCAGATTGGGGAAACTGAATTCCAGAGGGAAAGTGCTCACCCACATAGTATGGTGAACACAGGGCCTCTCCATTGTACCACAGGGCTCCTCTGCACTGTTTGAGGACCTGGACTGCGTCTCGTTTGTCCTCATTTTGTCAGTGCCCTGGGACTGTGCCTGGTACACTGAAGGGGCTCCGGGCTGTCCATGGGTTGAACTATACAATGAAGCCAAAGCCAGAAAGAGGGAGGTAGGCGACAGGCTGCCAGAGAAGCGGGTGCAGGTGAGAGGCGATGGGGTGGTGGTGGAAGAATGTGGAATTGCAACATCAGCTTAGAAGGGAGACAAATCCAAATATAGTAACTTCTATATGTAGAAGAATTAAGAACAATGGCCAAGGTTTCTTGCTTGGGTGTTTCAGTGGGTGGCAGTAGTACACTTGAGATTGGGGACACAGGGGAGAGCTTGTTTTAGGGAAAGAGGCACTGCACCAAGAACTCATTTAGTCCTTACAACAACGATATGAAGTAGGGGCTATTATCCCCATTTGACAGATGAGGAAACTGAGGCACAAAGATGTTAAGACTTGCCCAAAGACACTAGGAAGTGGAGGGACCTGGATATAAGCTGACAGTTGAACTGCAACCTTTTAACCATTACATCACTCTGCCCTTGACCACCAGGCTACACCACCAGACTCTACCAATGCTGAGTTCAACTTTGGAAGTGTGGTTTAGAGACCCTGGGACATCCACTTCACTTTATTTCTTGTCACAGGCTGCAGCGGTCTCCCTATCTCCTCCTTTGTTCCCCTCCAAACCCTTCACACTGCATCCAGAAAGCCTATTTTAAAATACAGTACAGTTAAGTCCCCGACTTATGAACGAGTTCCGTTCCAGGAGGACGTTTGTAAGTCGGATTCGTTCATAAGTCTGACAAAGTGAGTCTTATACACCTTTGACGCAAATATACACTAGAAAGCCAATGGTTGAATGATTCATGTTATAAGAACGAGCGACGTCTACCATCTTTTCGCCTCGGTCCAATCTCAATTATTTTCACTTTTGTTTCCATGGTTATTGCTTTGCGCTTCCTAGCAGTCCCCTCCACATCACCACTGCTTTTGCCCTTGCTTCCGGACACCCTGGGCTCTGATGGAGCACTGTACTACTTACTCTACACTATCGCACTGGACAGTGAGCACACAGCAGCACAACTGTGACAATGTCCGGCAGACACGTGAGCTACTTCCGTGATTTGTTTGCACCTACGAATGTCGTAATGCGAGGTCTGTTCGTATCTGTGAAAGTTCGCAACTTGAATGTTCGTAAGTCAGGGACTTATTGTGCTAATAATGTCACCCCCTCCCAAAGCCATTCAAAGGCCTCTCATTGCTCTTAGAGACTGAAATTCTTACCTGGCTCACAAGGCTTGATTTGGCCCCTGCCCACCTTTCTAAAGCCTCAACTCTTACCAGGCCCTCTGCTCCCCAATATCTACCTTCCTCTCTTGGTGATTTAGCATGTTCTCCCACCCAGAGCCTCTGCACCTTCTATTCTCCACACTGGGAATGCTCCTACAGGTTTCTCTCCCGTGACAACCATCTAGTTAATTCCACTCAGGCTTTAGAGGTCAGCTCAAGTCCAATCCAGTCCACTTTCTTTTTTAAGGTCCGACAACTCCAGATTATTTCTTTCCGTTTGAGACTTCCTATTTGTTAGTAAGACTGGTACCTTTATTTGATCAGGGTTAGTTTCTCCCACTAGCCTGTGAGTAGTACCCTAAAGGCAGGAACCTTGTCCATCCGGCTCACCAATGTACCCACAGCACCCACCAAGATGCCTGGCACATGAAGGATATGCAATAAATATCTGTTGTATGAGTTAAATCCAAGTCGATAGCGAAGGGGGTGGTTGGATATCGAATCGATATCTCACGGGAGAGATTTCTAGGGTGAAAATAAAGATTTGGGGGACACTTATAATTCAAGTGAGAAGCGTGGGCGAGCTCGCCTAAGCGGTGTGCGGACTGAAGAGATTTGTAACTAATCCAAGATAAACAGTAACGTGGCTCACGGTCACTGCGCAACGATGCCGGGGCTCTTCTCCGCCTAGCTGTGGCTCGTACAAGTCGCTGCCCACTCCGGCTGCCTGAGCCCCGTCCCTTAAAAGGGAGAAAAGCACCAATTCAAAAGACTCCAACAGCGCCCACAACTTTCTCTATCCAGGCCTTCCTCCAATAGCTAAGGACGGCTCCCTGGGCACCGCCCCTTCCGGCCGGGAATACCGGAAACGTGGCGGGAGCGCCGGAAGTTAAAGGGAGTTTCCTGTGAGCTCGGCTTCCTCAACATGGCAGCGCCCTTGTCAGTGGAGGTGGAGTTCGGGTAAGCCACAGAGTTGGGGTACCGTGGGGACGGATGCAAGTTGTTGGGCCCGGAACTCCCCTCCTTCTGCCTTGGGGCCTGTCGCGGCCTAATTTCCGAGGCTCCTGGCGCCTTTTCTGAGCTACGCTACCCGCCTTGGAGGGTCTGAGAGGCTCGGTCTCCCTTGGAGACGAGACCGTATGTCCGGGAATAGAGGCGCACACCTGGGCGTGCGGGTGCACTCCGGACACTCCTCGGTGCCCTGTGCTCTGCTGGACTCCAAGGCGTGACGGTTAGCAGGAGGCTTCCCTACTTTGTTTATCAATTCCATTTTGGACCAGACCCGTGTTTCTGGTATCTGAGCTCCTGGAATTGAGAATAACCACCCTTCACCCGCTGATTCCTTCCTTTGGGCAGCAAGTTCCACTTACACAGTTCTTGAAGCCTTGTTTCTCCTGAGATACGAGACTTCCTTTCTTCTCTTAAGATTTGGAGGTGTTAAACCTGAGTCCCTTTTAAGACTTTTAGTAAATTTGCTGAGCGTCTTCTGCAGATCTTGAGTCAGGTGGCGATATGGGGATAAGTAAGATAGCACAGTGGAAGAGACTAACCGTGACAGTACGCACAAGATAAAAAGTACAGGAATTGGGACACGCATACCTGTAACTGAAGAAAAAGATCAGGGAGGATGTCTCCTTAAACCACTGTCTTCTACTCCCTGCAAACAAAAAGTTTGTCATATAATTTTGGAGCTAAGAGAAGCTGCAGAGCTTAGAGAGAAGGCAAAGAAACAGACCCTAAGAGATGGGTGGTATAATTTCCAGAGTCACATGGAAAAGCTGGGATTAGATTTGTGTGTGTGTCTGTGTGTGTGTGTGTGTGTGTGTGTCTGTCTGTCTGTCTGTCTGTCTGTCTGAAGATAAACAGCCAAGGCTTATGTAGAAAGGGAAAGTCTGGAATGGGAATCTAAAACCTCTTTCTATAAATGCCTTTCCTTCCATTGGATGCCTCCAGTTTTTTTCATGTTTTCCCTTCATTGGGTAGTTTATTCACCAGTCATTTATTGAGTGCCTACCATGTGCCAGGCAGTGAGCCAGGCACTGAAGATACAAAGATAAATAGAACTGTGTCCATGCCCTCGCCCTCCAGTGTTTAGCGTTTCTGTCTCTTAGAAGGGAGTAGTCTCATGAATGTTAAGTGTATTTTAATTGATGGTATTGTCTGGTGCCTTGGATCCAATTAGAACTATAATGGTTTGGACTCCTGACTATTTTGCTTCACTGACCCTTGGCCCAGTCATGCCCCTCGTAGCCTGGAGGTTCTAGGAGAATCCCTACTGCTTTGACAAGCCTCAACAGAGTTAAAAAGGGAGAAGCTGCAGATGGCCGATGTTAAGGTTTATCTATAGCCAATTTACCTTTTATTCCCACTGAGTCAGCCATGGTATTTGTTAATCAGAAATGTCTTCTGTCTGCCAGGTACTATGCTGGCAGCAGTGGGGAAGTCACGTCAGGAACATATATGGTCCCTGCCCTCCAGAGTTTACAGACTAGCTTCACTACCCCTTTTCTGACCTGACCATCTCTAGCTTCAGCCCTGCTTACTCCCAAGAGCAATAGTAAGCCCCAGCAAGGCAGGACAACATTCCTCCACCCATTTACTCACCTCCTAACACCTTTACCCACCACCACATCTCAGGAATCGCAACTTCTCAGAAAGAAAGAGTGCCCAAGATGCATGCCAAACCCAGATTCCTTCTCTTTTTGTCCTTTTCTCAATGCATGTTTTTGCCCCTGGCCTTGCTTTTATTTCCTACGTATCTTAGCAGACCCTTCACCCTGAACCTGAGAAGATTTGCAAAGAAGCTCCTTGCCTATCAGCCTCTCACTTTTGTTCCCCCATGCCACCCTGATCCTTAAAGAGTCTGGGGTAGGACGTGGCCTCTTCTCCCGAGCAGATGTCCTCGCAGCCCCGCCAGCTCTGATAGGCTCACTGGAAGAACTCTCACACCTTTCTCCCTCTTGTCAGTGACCAGTTCTGCCACCTTTGTTTTGCCTCCTGAACTGGCCTTAGCAGAGCATTTTCTCAGGTCACACAGGAGTCGAAGTTTGTAGTGCAAATGTGTTTTGCATCCCTGCGGTCCATATGTGAAATTCGTCCTCCTTTTCGCTGTTCCCCTTCCAGAGTCGGGGAGGTAGTGGCAAAGGGAGGGAATGCCATCGAAGTTAGAGAAGAAGTGGGCATTTTCACATATGGCAAATTGAGTGCCTGCTGTGTGCCAGGCCCTGTTTTAGGCAGAGCTTGCATTCCAACAAGTAGAGGGAAAATAAACAAAAATATAAGATAAAAAGATGATAAACTAGAAAAAGTGAAGGCAGTTTTGGGGTTGTCTATACCAATCATTGATACCAGTGAACATTCCTACTAAGAATTGGGGAGTGGAGGGAAGATGAGGTGTCTTACAATGTGAGTCCTTAATTGACTTTGAAGAGCAAGTTCTGTTAGACATAAGAGAGTCTGGCTTCGGTTCTCTTCTGGGGCCAAAACAAGCCCTTTGCCTGCTTCCTTGAATCACTCCCGAGGGTGGGCATGCACCTTTCTTCCCTCCAGATGTGCTGACAGCAGAAACGCCAACCCCTCCCTTGGGGGCTAGTGAACCCAGTTGTGATAGGTCACCCGCTGAGCCAGACTGGCTCTCCCTTCATCTGTTTTGTGAAGGGACAAACAGCCTCGGCCTCTGAGCCTGGCACCACCAGGTTTGGCCATTCTTGGTTGTTTGCCTGGGTCCCAGTGCCTCCAGTTCCCACCCCTTTTCTCTGACCCCCAATTCCTTAGCCCCTTGCCTGTTGCCCTCCCCCACCCCAGCTGCTGCGTGTGCCAACCCCCACCCAGGAGAGAACGAGGCTCTTGGAAGGGGATAAATGGAGGCTCTGTGCGGGCCTGCAGCTGAAATGGCCCTGCGCGCGCGGCCACAGATGGGCCTCTTCTCCCCCTCCACATTTCTGCATCAACAAAGCGTGACCTTGTTCCGATGACAGTCGCCCCATGTTTCCCCCATGACAATGCTTGCCTTGCCTTTGCCTCCCAGTGGACTGTCTCAGGATATCTCTGTTCTCTGAAATTGGGAAAGGGTGGTGGGGCGGGAGGCATCACATCCGTCTAAAGTCTGTTAAGGCCTTCTCAGTTAAGATCCACGTGAAGTCTGGGATGCAACCAGGAGACCCAGAGGGAGAAGCAGTGTGGGCCACTGAAAGAGCCCTGGTGTTCACATCATAAGCCCTGGCTTCTGGCCTTGGCTTCAAGCATCTCTGCTGTTCTAGCCTTTCCTTCGCCAGGTGCTGGCACACAGAAGTGAACCAAACTCTGCCCTCAAGGGGCTTTCTGACTTTTTGGGAGTCTTGGGTTTTCCTGCCAAGGCTGCTGGGGCTGAGCAGAATCGAGTTAGAATTCAAAGCCTAGTTCAGCCACTGCCTCTGTGACGTTGGACAGGCCACTAAACCTCCTCAGGCCTCTGCTTCTCTATCAGATGGAGTTAACAATGTCTGCCTCCCTCCAACCTTCCCTGGGATGCCCTGAGGATGAAATGAGATGAAGAATGGTCTAGTAAATGGCAAGGTAATTGCTAAGGCTGGTGGAGGAGTCTCTTACCCCCCAGCACTGTGGTGTGCCCACCAAGCCAGTCAGTAGTGAGTGGCACAAGCAGAGACATTTCAAACCCTCACCTGGCCAGAGGAAACCCCTCGACACATACAGGGTCTCCAGCATGTCTTATGGTGGCCTCTCAACGTTTTTGTAGATGGAAAGACTGAGGCTTGAGAGCATGGAGTCATGTGCCCAAGGTCTGGGTGTCAGGCAGAGGTAGAGTCTGGTCTGACAGCCCCAAACCTGAACCTGTATGCTAGGCCGCTTCTTGAGAAAGCAGAGGAGTAAAAACAAGAGTCTGCAAACTTGGGTACTTGACTATTGGTAAAAAATTACCTACATCCTACTTTACCTTCAGAAAGTCACATTTGAGAATCAGTCACTGGTGCCCCCTGAACCTTGAACCTTCAGGGTGTTCCTGAACCTTGGTCTCTGTACCAGGTTTCAGTCTCAGCCTGACATTTGCAGGAGCTTACCTGGCTGTCTTTCTCTGGCTCTCCTTTGCAGAGGTGGCGCGGAGCTCCTATTTGACGGTGTAAAGAAACATCAGGTCACCTTGCCGGGACAGAAGGAGCCCTGTGAGTATGGACTGTCTGAGCCCCTCTCAGGCACACTGGGCAGGCGCCTACAGGGGTCACCCAGCCCCTTCAAGTGGGAATGGGTCGGATTTTCCTGGCCAGTGGGAGGGGGGAAGAGAGACCACCAGAGTACCCTTCCCCCATCCTGTCTAGCCAGCTTTGTAAGAGGGAGATGGTGTACCTCAGTCCTTAGGAGTGCGGTTCTGTATTCTGACAGACTTGACTGTGAATCCCCTCAGAACCTTCGGCCAGTGACCTCCCCTCTCTGAGCTTCAGTGTTCTTATCTGTGAAGTGGCCACGGTGATTTCTGTCTCTCAGGGCTGCTAAAAGGAACATCTCTATTATTAGATGGCAGCAGAGCGATGTTCTCATGAAGGTGGTAGCCTTCATCGGGAATGGAGCAATGCGACGGGTTCACGTTATGGTGAGAGGATTTAGATCTGAACAAAATATCCAGCCACAAAGGAGGTTGGACGAGGAAGGTTGACTAAGGGAGGCTTTCTTCAGTTGTACATTCAAATACTTATTCATCTTTCTTTAACAAACATATACTGAGCACTTCCTGTGTGGCAGACCATGTACCAGGCCCTGGAGAGACAGCCATGAGCGAGAGCCAGTGCGTGCCTTCAAACTTGGAGGTTGGAAGAGATCCAGCTGGCTAAATAGCAGTGTAGCCTAGAGGCAGGAGAGGTTGTAGAGGTGCCCCACAGCCCTAGCACTGGGGCCTAGCAAGAGCAGAACGCCCACGCCCCGGAGCCCGTCTCGCCTAGGGCTGAGATACTTCTGGGCAGAAGCGGAAATCTGTCACCAGGAGGCAGGAGTATGAGGTTCCCGCAGGCAGGCAGTAGAAAATGGTCAGTGAGTTTGACAGAGTTCTTCTAGAACTGGACCCTCAAGTCAGGAATCAAACCATTATTGCCCATATTCACTGGCTGCTAATGCTGTGTCTGACCCTCCCTTGGGTTGGAGTGGCACAGGGTGGGTCTGTGTGCCACACTCAGAGGCTGTGTGCTACACTCACCAAGGAACAGGGCACTTCCCGCCTTGAGCTAGCAGTGGGCATGAGTCTGGGGTTAAATGTCAGGATTGTGGGATTGTGTGTGTCCCTGGCGGAAGAAGACCAGGGGTGATAAAGGTCCCTGTCTCTTAGTTTGACAGACAGCCATGCAGCCTGGTTAGCTCAGGTGGTTAGAGCCCGGTGCTCATAATTGCCGGTTCGATTCCCACAAGGGCCACTGAGCTGCGCCCTCCACAACTAGATTGAAACAACTGCTTGACTTGGTGTTGATGGGTCCTGGAGAAATACCCTGTCCCACAATTTAAAAAAAAAAAAAAAGATTCAATCTGAAAGACCTGGTTGGGAAGTTATTAAAGTATCACAAGTTATGATTTATTTCCCCCTGCATTTGCTTGGCATGAATGTCCCCAAGTTTAATAATTCCAGCTCTTTTCATTCGTTCATTGGTTGAATGCTCACCAAATGCCAGATGTGGAAGTACTTTATTCTTTCTTGTAGTTGGCACATGGTTTTTTGAGTGCCTCCTTTGTGCCAGGCACTGTACTAGTTTGCGGGTGGTGTACTAGTACCAGTATTTGATGGTGAATAAAACAAAACAGACGGTTCTTGCCCTAATGGAGCTTACAGTGTAATGGAAGTGGAGCCAGGAACAAAGAAGTAAACACATAGATGTATAACCATGTGACTGTACCAGTGGTTGTCGCTGGCATGAGGAGAACAAAAGGGTTCTTTGAATGAGACAACAGGTAGTAAGGGAAAGCTTCTTTAAAGAGGTGGTTGGGGGACTAAGTGAAGGACGGATGGAAAGGAGCCAGCCTCATAACTTGGAGGACAGAGGTGCATGGGGCCCATTCCAAACAGGGGTAGCATGTGTGAAGGCCCCCTGCTAGAAGCCCTCGGGGTGGCCAAGGAACTGAAGGAAGGCCAGTGTCATAAGGGGCACAGGCTGTGTGTGGCATGGCCCTGATTGGTTATGCAAATAATTGTCACAAATTCCTAGGTGGTAGCTGTCATTTTCATTCCCATGTTCAGAAATGTCAAGGGTCTAACTCCAAGTTGTATAGTTATTTAAATGGCAGAGCTGGGATTCAGAACCACATTTCCGGGCCTCCAGAGTCCTTGCAACGGTGTCACTCACTCAGCATCGTTTACCCTGAGGCTCCCTGAACCACGTAACATCTCACACCTGCAATGTACCTTCCAGTTTGTACACTTGTATTCATTTATATTCATGCATTCAACAGCTACTTACAAGGTATGATCCAACAATACAGTAAATGTTTAAATTTTTAAAAACTCATTACAGTAAAAGACACATTCCCATTAATTCCTCTCAAAATACTTCCCCTCGCTTTGAACACACGTATCCCATTGTTCTTGCCACTTTCTAAAGAGTTCTGGAAGTCCGCTTTTGTGAGTGTCTTTAGTTGCACTGCCATGGCTGCCTCGATGTCCTGAATCGATTCAAAACGCTTACCTTTCATGATCATTTTAACTTCGGGGAAGAACCAGAGTTGCATGGTGCCAGATCCAGTGAATAAAGTTTAGGATGAGGACACACCGTAATGTTTTTATTTGACAGAAATTGCTGAACCAGAGGTGATGGGTGACATGGAGGCTTTCCATTGTGATCACAAAATACAGTGAATGCTGCTGCCAAGGTCCATCCAACAGAAAGGCAGGGATCTTCAGTACAGGAAGCGACACATCGAACCTTAGTAACAGTGTGTGACAAGTTTCATCTTGTTTGGTGCAGGCAGTAGGGTGTGAGCTACAGTTGAGAGAAGGTGTGTTTTAAAGTGTGCCATAAAGCATCCTCCATCATGACAACGCTCCGTGTCACATATCGCTTCTGGTATACGGCAATTCCTGTCAATTATAAACATGACGGTGTGTCCTCATCCACCTTATTCACCGGATCTGGCACCATGAGACTTCTGGCTCTTCTCCAAAGTCAAAATGATTTAGGACATCGAGGCAGCCATGACAGCACAACTAAAGACACTCACGAAAGAGGACTTCCAGAGCTGCTTCAGAAAGTGGCAAGAACGATGGGATAAGTGTGTTTGAAGCGAGGAGGAGTATTTTGAGTGGGATTAATGGCAATGTGTCTCTTACTACAATAATTTTTTTTTATTTTTGGGGAACAGTGCTCAGCTCCAAGGCAAGCAGTAGTTTTCAATCTAGTGTGGAGGGCGCAGCTCAGTGCCCCATGTGGGGATTGAACCGGCAACCTTGGTGTTATGAGCACTGCATTCTAACCAACTGAGCTAACCAGTCTCCCCTTATAAATAATTTTTTTAAATTTAAACATTCACCATATCGTTTGATCACACCTCGTATTTTGATTTTCGTAATGACCCCAGTAGGTATTATCTGTCATCAAGGAAACCAAACCTGAGAGAGAGAAGAGTTAGTTATTCAAGTAGCGGGGCTGGGCTAAAACCCAAGGGTTTTTTTCCCCTTTCTTTTTTTACATCTTTTTTTTTTTTTTTTAGCTGAGCCATCCTGCTACCTGTTGGGCAGCTCAGCGGCTGCTCAGCTCGGGCTGGACTCGAACCGCTGTTGCTCAGAGCTCAAACTCTTGAGCGAGCTCTTAACCAACTGAGCCACTTGGCCGGCCCTAAAACCCAAGGGTTTTTGTCCCATGTCCACCACTCCTTACAGGGCAGGTGGGGGCCTATCCTCCCCTCTCTGGGATGAAAGGAAAGGAAGTGGGGGAGGGAAGTTAAAATGGTCCCTTTGCTCAGTTTTTGGGCCCTTGGCTGTGACTCTCTACCTCTGGTTCCCATTTTTGCCCTGCTGTGCCCAGAGGGTCACATCGCAGCCGCAGAGCAGGTTGGCAGCTGCCAGGCCTTCCCCTGGCACATGGGAGCCCAGCAGTTGCCACTGGGAGAGTCTCACTCTTACCCCAAGCTCGTGCCCAGATCTGCTGTCTGGCAGCCTTCCCAGCCCAGGGGCTGCCACTTGGCCAAGCAGGTCTTGGAGACTCCAGCAGAGAAAGTAGCAGCCATAAGATTATGGATTGTGACAAGCCTCACAAACAAGGGGACGCCAGGGCCCTGGGTCCTGGGCCAGGGGAGAGCTTCCAACCCGGCCAACTTGGGAGAAGAGGATGGGCGAGGCCAAAGGGGGTGAGACTGCAAGAGAGGAGTCCTGGCAGTGCAAATGGCCGTCACTTACTTCCAAGGGCCTCTGTTTTCCCATCTGTAAAACGGGAGGTTAGGCTACATTTCGTCCTCATTGAGCAGGTTATTTGTTTGACTTCTACCTTTTGGAAACGTTGCTTCCAGGTCTAAGTATAGTAAGTCCCTGACTTACGAACATTCAAGTTGCGAACTTTCACAGATACGAACAAACCTCGCATTACTAACATTCGTAGATGCAAAGAAATCGCAGAAGTAGCTCACGTGTCTGCCGGACATTGTCACAGTTGTGCTGCTGTGTGCTTACTGTACAGTGCGATAGTGAACAGTAGTATAGTGCTCAATCAGAGCCCAGGATGTCCAGAAGCAAGGGGAAAAGCAGTGGTGATGTGGAGGGGACTGCTAGGAAGCACCAAAGGTGTATAAGACTCACTTTGTCGGACTTACAAACGAATCCGACTTACGAACGTTTTTCCGGAATGGAAGTCGTTCGTAAGTCGGGGACTTACTGTATACAGTTCCGGGAAACAGGGCGTGCTGATCCAGGGAGAAGGTGTGCGTGTAGGGGGACATCTTAATAGCCATTTCCATGGAACAGTTCATCTCTTTGATTGGCTGGGGTTGGTAGACACCTGCCAGCTTTGGGTATTGTGGCCACTGGGGGCTGGCTTTTATGTTTCTAGGACCCTTAACTCAAGGCTTCCAGCCCATGGTTGGTCAGTGGCCTGGGGCAAACCCAAAATGTTGGGGCACAGACTGTCCCAGCATGGGCATTACCTGCCCGGCCCCACCCCCACCCCCACCCCAGGAGACAGGCCTGCCTTACCTTTCCCTGCCCCTCTTCCTCTGCCCTGCCTTTGTATCGCAGGGTGGCTGACAAGCTCCTGGCGCTTTAAACTGCTTAGCATGCATTTCACAGCCTCTCTGGGGCCAGCTGTTCCTTTCTCTGCTCTGGGGCCTGTTTGCTGATCCCCTCCCCACCTCCCTCCTCTCCCCCACATCCCTCCCAGTCCCTGTGCAAAATTGCTTTTGAAAAGATCCACTTTCTGCTTAATTAAACAATGAGGAGCGTCCCTTCGCACATCTGTAAACCTCCTTCTGAGGCCAGTTTAGCTCACAAACTGCTCCATTCTTACCCCCATTCACTTGTAAATGGACCCTCTGATGTTCCCTCTACCCTCTCTTACTCCCCCCATTGCAGCGCTTTCTTCTCCCTTTCCTACTAGGGCCTGGGGTGGCCTCCCAGAAGAGCCTTGTCTAGTGGACTTGGTGGGGACAGGAGTGGTTTAACCTATGGAAAAGAAGACTCAGGAGATGTGTCTCTCCCAAATCTGCAGGGCGGGCACGGGGACGAGGGGACACATTTGTTAGCAGGGTCCCCATGGACTAACCAGGCTCGGTGGGAGTGACAGGAAGACAGGTTTGTGGTTGGTTGAAAAGCTCTCCCTGAGGCCTTCAGAGAGAGGCTACCTGAGGGTCTGTCACAGCCGGGATCCAATATCAGACAAGACCTTGAGATTGTTCTCTTTCAGCCTGAGGAGCTAGGATTGACACCATCGGGGGTCCTGCCACATTAGGTGGTCAGTGTCCCCAGACAAGGACCAAGTCCACTGGGTCGAGGGATTCTGGTTTGAGCCTTTGTAGGTGCTTTCTCTGAGGTGCATGCATGGTACCCCGTTGCCAGCAGCCTTTAGGAGAAGGTTCTGGCAGCCCAGAGGATTAGGAATCCTAAGTCACTGGGCAAATGTAGTACGTTGGTCTTGTGTGTTTGGCCCGGGCCTAGTGCTAATCTTATGCCTGAATCCTCACAGCACTCTTTGGAGGTTGGATTATTATCGCCATTTGACAACTGAGACTTAGGGAGCTGAAGTGACCTCAAGGCCACCTAGCACAGTTTCTGGCTCCAGAATCCAAACTCTTAGCCACTCTGCAGAGCAGCAGCCCCCATCACTTGCTCCTCCCCAGATGTGCAGGCTAGGTCCCGAGGCTTCCTGCAATGGAAACCTTTCATTAGGGTGCCCCTCTCCCTCCTCTGGGGCTGTGTGCCCGGCGGCAGTCTGGCCTCCAGTACCCATGGCCTCAGAATGGGATTCCTTCCACCTGGTTGTCCTGCTAGCATCTTAGGGGTCTGAACATGGAAAATGTAGGGGAGGCCTGTGTCTGGGGCCCCATCACCACTCTCCCAATCCCTCCATTCCCTCATTCCCTCTCTGGCTTCTGATGGAAAAATAATGACTCCCACAGATAGGCCCAGCCAGTCCCAGCACTGTCTGATTAATGGTTGACTGACTGTACCCCACCCTCCAGAACGATCTGAGCACATCCGCAGGGTGCCAGGCCCTTGGGCAGAGTGTGTGGACGCTCTGGGCATCAAGAGAGTACAAAGGATACAGGTTCTTCTTCTGAATCGTAGAAGAATTACAGCATGATATGCCAGGCATGGTGCCAAGAGCTTTGTATGCACCCTCTCATTCCATTCTCACAACAGCCCTGTGAGGCATTCTTATCATTTCCACTTTGCAAAGAAGAAGGCCGAGGCTCATGGAATTCCTTAGTCAAGGTCACATAATCAGGAAATGATGGAGTCGAACTCAGAACCGGGAGTCCCAGTTCATAACGTCTCCTCCCCAGCGCCCTCTCTCCATAGTTGTCCACATGTTCAGTCCACATGGGAAGGGGCAGGGTGCTGTGTGGGAAGTTCTGTGCTGTGGCCTGTGGCCTGTGCCGGGTCCTCAGATCACACTCTAGTGATGGTGACGCCGTACATTTGAGTTGTCTGGGCAGTGGCAGTGTGGGTTCTATGCCCTCAGAACACACATTTGATAAATACCCCTGAGGTTCTTCTAGAGGAGGCCCCTTCCCAGGACCCACACGGGCCCTATCGGGTCTACCCCCTGCTCAGCCTGTCATGCTGATCTTCTTAACTCCACTGTTCTGTTACCTTGAACCTGCCAATCCCATCCTGCCTCAGGTCTTCGCAGATGCTCTTCCTCCTTCCCAGAATGCTCCCCCATCCCACCCTGCTCACCCTTCAGGCCTCAGCTTCAGTGTTAGCATCCTCAGAAAAGCCTTTCCTGATCCTACACAAAGGAGATAGCATTTATCACAACTAATTACATAAGTAATGTCCAGCTCCCCTGCTGGCCTATCCATAGGCTCTGGCTGGCTGGCTCAGCACTGTCTCCTGAGCACCTGGCACATAGTACTTGCTCAGTAAACACCTTGCAAATGATTGTGTGGGATCCCAGGAGGGAAGTCACCCTCAGTGGCAGTGGGAAGGCAATAGGACACAGAGGGGGAAGGTGAAAGTGAGATTCCCCAGAGCCTACCCCAAGCCACCAGCCCCTGACTCTGCTTAACCCTTCCTTCTCCCCTGGGCGCCTTTGGAAGCAGACCATCTGGCTTGGAGCCATTTGCATATTGTCTGGGCCTCAACAAGCCTAGCAAGATGCCCCTGGGGGTGTGTTTCAGGCCAGGCCCAGTGGCCCTTGCAGCCTGCGAAGGGACCCTTGAGTTCCATTTCTCCCCACCCCCAAATCCAGGCATAGGGGAACAATGCGGATGGTGATGCACTCGCCTCACCATGGTAACAGGCTATCAAGAATGTGGGCAGGCCTGGGGGGCGCAGAGGAGGGAGGGAATGACCTCAGCAAAGAGGAGCATCATGATAAATGAGCCAGCCCCGCAGCAGACTCACCCCCAGCCCACCCCTCTGGGACTCCATGATGGTACTATCACTCGGATGACCCCGACGTGACCACTAGCCACCACCATCCCTGCAGCCTACCCAGAATGGAGCAGAAGTCCCCTCCTGTTTTCCAGCTGGGTCTGGTTCTATACAGGCCAGCTAGGGCTGTGGAGGCGCAGTGGTGGCCCTCAGGCCAGGCACTGCCTGGTCCTCAGTGCCTCCACACACACAGGCAAGAACCCTGCCCGCCAGGGCCGGCTGATGGATGTGTCAGGCCCCGGCGGCTCTATCGAGCGGCCACAAGATGTATGGGCTGGCGGCCCACCAGACAGTGCCAAGATGGAGGCCAAGGGGAAAGCTCTGAAACCCAGGTCCCAGGGGACAAACCCAGCTAGCTAGGAGTCTAAATGGACTGCAGCTAGTTGGAGGCAGCACTCCCCATCGCCTGCCCACTCCTGGGACCATGAGGACTTTGATCTGCTTTATTTAAAAGGGGGAATTAACATTGAAAGGTGGCAGTTTCAGTCCATGGAGACTGCCCATTGCCCCGTGCTCCTCTGGCATACGATCCAGGGAAGTTGGCATGGAGCAGAGTGAACCAGTCTGTCCAGGGTGCAGCCTGTCTGCCTTCCAGGGAGAAAGTATGTAGACCAGTGAGAGCGCCTTAAAAACACTATCCAAGGCAGGTGCTGAGTGTGTGACACCCGGCTGGGTCTCTCGTTGCCTGAGCAGCCTTTCCCCCACCTACGTGCTGGACGGGCTCCAGGCAGAGAAACCAAGGCACTGCCAGGTCCCTTCTCTATCGTAGCCCCCGAGCTTTATCTCAGGCATGGGTCTGAGACAGCAGACCCCTCTGAAACATTGACTCGGGGCGGAGGTGGCTGGCCCCAAGACCCCTACTGGCTTCCCCGAGACTAGTTTTGACCCCAGGGCCTTCGGTCCTCAAGTCGTCCCAGGAAGAGGAGGAACCCCTGCAGCCTCAGCTGATGGTTTGCTGAGGAGTGGGTGGCTGCCAGCCATAGCCTTCGAGGAGGTTACAGGCTTCAGTGTTCTGGGGCCTGGGACCCTGCTCCTAGGAAGGGAGAGGTGACACTGGGGCCAGGTGGTTCTGAGCCTTCACATGATGTGCAGAGAGCTTGGTGGCTGTCCCAGAACCACAAAGCAGATCTCAGTGTTCGGCTGAGCAGGAGAAGCCCTTTCGACCCGTTTGAACCTCTTGCCTCTTCAGGGTGGCTGCCCCCTGCCTGGGGGGGCTCTGTGAAAGGGGGGTTGTGGGGCAGTCATTTGTCTGTGTCTCTGTCTGGTGAAGGAGCCTTCTCTCCCTCTGCCAGAGGAAATTAACTGATGTTATCAGCTCAGCAATTGTTTTTCTTCCCTCACAAAGGGAAATATATGCAGACCCCTCTAAGAGCAAAGCAGAATCCTCCCTTCTGGGACTGGCCACAGAGATAAAGGTGGAGGGCGCTCTTCAGGGCCCTCTCAGAAACCCAGCTGTGGCAATTTCAGAGGGTCTTCCAGGACTAGTGGGTGGGGTCTGTCTTCCAACCCTTCAGATATGGCAGTTTCTCCCGCTGTCTGCCTCAAGTCCCCAGTGCCTCTTGAAGCCTTTAGCAGTGCTAGGTGCCACTTTCTCTCAAGATCTCTCTGGCTGGTCACTGGCCTCTGACAACCCATGTCCTCACCTTGGGAATCCACAAGTTCAGGGGCCCTGGTCTAAAAGAGGCCCTCTGAGCCTCATGTTCACTTTCTTCTAGTCCAGACAAGGCCCCGAGGCTCAGGAATCATTTGGGTTTGACAGTAGTTGATCTCTGTCTTCCTCTCTAGGGGACATCCGGAACCTCCTTGTCTGGATCAAGAAGAATTTGCTAAAAGAGCGGCCAGAGCTGTTCATCCAGGGAGACAGCGTGTGAGTCCCTCTCTCCCCTTCCCTGAGGAGGGTGGGCGGAGGGAAGGTGTGCACCCCCGTCCTTGTGTTCACCCACAGCCTTCTCCGTGTCCTCTCGTCCCCTTTATCATCCTTGTACCCTCTGAGGAAAGAGCTTCTGTCTACTTCTCTTGTTACCACACTATATTGTTGGGAATTTTCTAAAAGTCCAGGTCAGGAGACTGGCAAATTTCTCAGGAAACTTGGATTCCTCCTTCTGGTTGCCACAGACGTGCTGTGAAACCTTAGTTAGGCAAGTTACTTCACTTCTCTGGGCCTCAGTCACCCGCTCTGTACAGAAAGTACTGAGGACAAGGCGCTGCCCGAGGTCCCTTTCGCCCCTTGCCAGTCTAGGATGAGTTAACCCATAGAGCTTTGTGCGATGATGGACATGTTCTGTGTCAGTGCTGCCCAGTGTGGTAGCTGCTGGGCACGGAAGGCTACTGAGCCCTGGAAATGTGGCTAGTGTGAATGAGGTTTGATTTCACTGTAATTTAAATTCACATGTGCCTTGTAGATACCACAGGTCTGGGATTCTGGGGAGTAACCGTGCATACACACATGCACATTTGTGCTCACTGCCGACACCCCTACCTCTGGCCCAAAGCTTCTATACCTGTCCCAGGCCCAGCTCGGCCTCCTAGGCAAGGAGCCAGGTTCCATGTGCCAAGAAGTCACTTTCCTTCTGCAACAAGCCCAGCCTAATATGTAAAATCTGTGGGCAGGGCACTTGGGGGACTCCCTCTACCTCAAAGCGGAGGTCACCAGCGGGTCCTAGCACTAAGGCTGCCATCCAACCCCTGGTTCATGGTCCAGCAGTCATGGAGGCCACCCCCAAGGACAGCAGAGCCCCTTGGGCTACTGCCAGGCAGGAGCCAGGCTTCGGCACCTGTCCAAGTGTCAGCCTGCCCGACTTCACAGCAGCATGGCCGCCCTGGGGCACTCAGATGCCTGGAGCCACTGGCAGCCCTCCCTGAGTTGGAAGAGCTGAGACAGCCTCCTCTCCAGGACAGGCATGCAGGAGGCCTAGAAGGGCGCGGTGAGACCCCTGGAAGAATACACTGCTATGGCGGTTACCACCACAGAACTGGGCAAACAAGCACGTCGCACACATCCCATTTCCTCCTCGCACGGATCTTGTGGGGAAGGCACTGTAATGTACCCCATTTTCAGTTGAGGAAACTGACACCCAGAAAAACAAAATGACCTGCCTGAGGTCTGGGTGGTGGTGCTGGAATTTGCACCCATTTTCCATCTGGCCCCAAGACCATGACTATCTGAGCTGGTTTCCTTTAGACTTAGGCTGTTACCTCCACTTCCTGGGAGATCTTTAACCGGACCTTGCAGAGGAAAGGCTCCCAGCACACTCTCCTGCAGCCCAAATGTCTAACCCTCTGTACCCCTGCTGCTGAATGCCCGCTGCCCTTCACTCCCTGCTACTCACCGCCATCTTTCCCACAGGCGGCCAGGAATTCTTGTGCTGATTAACGATGCCGACTGGGAATTGCTGGTCAGTACCTCGGGACACCCCTCCCCCAACCCTTCCCCTCCCTCGCTGCTTTAGTAGGAAAGCCTTGGGCCTTTCATCAGGCCCAAACAGGGTGACTGGATAATCCTCTGTCCCACTCTAGCCTCCAAACTGAGGCTATTCAAGTCTCCCACCCCGAGTGCGGAAGGAAAGGATAGCTGGGGGAAGTGGTGAGCTCTCCTCCACGCTGGACATCTGGTAGATTCTACCTTTCTCTCCCAAAGCAGCCAGGCCCCACTTCCAGCCCCTCCTGACACCTTGGGGAAAAACTGGAAAAACTGACCCTGATGGTCTCTTCCTCGTTTCTCTCCCGGACCAGGGTGAGCTGGACTACCAGCTTCAGGACCAGGACAGCGTCCTCTTCATATCCACGCTGCACGGTGGCTGAGGGCCCCTCTCTGTGCCTGAGCGCCCTTGGGGTGGGAGAAGAGAACAATCAGACAACCCCCTGGGCCCTGCTTCCAGATCTCCCTGTCCCCCTCGCTGCTTTCTTCCCTGCTCTGTCCCCTGAGCTCCCTCCAGGCAGGGAAAAGAGGCCAGGTGCTAAAAATGAGCCTTTCTCAGGCACGTGAGCAGGGGAAGGCAGGCAGGCAGGCAGGCGGGCGCCTGAGCCCAGCGCTCCTCCCGACAGCTGAGGTGGGGGAGGGTGCCGGTTTGGTTGTCGAGTGGAGGGGGCCAGGTGACCCAGCTGCCTTCCACTCCGGTGTCTCAATCTACACCCTGAGTGACCACTGACAAGGCGCTTCAGCTCCAGGTCACAGCGTCTTCATGGGGAAGGTGAATGGCCCTGAATAGCCAATGGGAAGGCCCTCCCTTCTCAAACATTGGAGGAGTCCCCGCCTCAGTTTCCCCATCTGGACAGCAGAGGGCTCTGCCTATCCCCCACTGATGTCATTATGGAACCCCAGCTGGGGTCCCCTATTCAGTGCTGGCCCCCTCCCCCCCACCCAGCAGCTGCTCTTCCAACCACACCCCTCCTCCTGTTCCCCCCATCCCCAGCCCTTGACCCTGGTTGGCCTCCCCCCCCACAGGCCACCAGATGGGCTCCTGAGACCCTCCCCCAGCAAAAGGCTGACTGCAGCTCATTCTGAAGAGGAGGGAGTAGGCTTAACCTTGGACTGGCACATAAGGCCTGGGAGGGTCAGTGTGCCTCAGTTTCCTCCTCAACGACAACTGAATAGTTACAGTGTCTGAAAACTGGGGTACTACTCAGTGGCACAAATGTAGGCTCCATCTCCCTCCCTGCAGGAAGCAGTATGGGGTCAGGCAGCACCTGGTAAGCAGGGTGGTTCGCCCCTCCTTTCTCTGTCCCTTCTGGAAGTCTTGGGGCCTCAGTGTCTGCAACAGCTGGCCTTGGGCAAATAAAAGCCGAGGTTGTTTACTAGCCTTGCCTGGAGCTTTATCCTTAGAAACCAACGGCACCCCATAGCCTCTCAGCCATGGTCTCTGGTCCAACCTATGTGGCCTCCCCCTAGGTCTTTGAGAGTTGCCCTTCACCCAAAAAGGGGGCAGAGGTTGAATCCCAGACTGCCCAGCCTATCTGGGACGGGGTGATCTGACAGGGCCATCTGGAGAAGGGGGTGGCAGAGCTAGTCTGTGCTGACCAGTCTGGGTCCCAGGACACTTTCCTACCCGTCTGTCCAAGGCCAGGCTTTGTCCTACCAGCTGCAGCCAGCAGCCCCAGAACCCAGAATGGGGGTGGCATAGATAAGACTGCTGAGCCCCTCCTTCTTATGGGCTGGAGAAAAGCTTTGTTTGCTGGAGGAATACCTCAAAAAAAAAAAAATGGGGCATTAACATCATCCTGCCCAAAATGTCCCTTTCCATTTAAATGTCAATAATTTAAGGTGAAATTGCTCTCTGTTGGGATGAAAGTGCCAAATGGTTGTCCCAGCAGTGTGTTGGGGATGTGGGGGATGTGTGCGGACATCATTCTCAAGGGGCAGAGGACCCACAACCCCCTGGCTGGTGAGCTTCTCTCTAGCACTCTGCAGGTAGAGGCCCTCTGGGTATTTTTGTGGGTGGGGGCAGCCAGCCATGTTGGGGTTATTGGTAGGAACTGGTCTAGGTGCAAATTAAGGCCAGTGTTGGGGTCCAAGTGCTGTCTAGGGAGGCTGTGTGACCAGCCCACACTAGGTGCTAAGGTCAGAGTCTCTATGTTAGGGACAGAGCAAGGGACTTGAAATGGCCCCCTATAGCCTCGCTTTAGAGGATTAGCCTATCCCCTGATCCCTGTAACCTGGAGGTCCCTCCCTGCCTCCAGCCCCACTGGACTGGCCCGTTGTCCCACCCAGGATTCCAGGTCCTGGAAACTGGGCCTGAGGATTCCTTTCCCACCTGCACTGGGGTGAGGGGGGTAGCTATGGGGTATCCCTTCATTGTACCCCAGTTAATGCTGAGCAGTTGGACAGAAAGACTTGCTGGGAAAACCAGGTTCTCCGAAGCAGTAAGGAATGCCAGCGCCAAAGCTGAAATTGTCCAGGGCCACAGTCCACAGCATTTTGGGTCATTTTCAGCCCAGAGTCTGACAGGGGTCAGGGATAGGTAACCTGGGCTCTGCCCCAAGCGATGCCCAATTGCCCCACCAGGCAACACCTGACCCCCGCTTGTGAGGCAATAAACGAATAAATAAACCCCACCATCTCCGAAGATTTGTCTTTAATGAAAAGGATTCGTTTGTCCAAGTTTGATTTCCAAAGCCCAGGCGATTGCCCGGCTGGAGCGCATCGTTCCCCATGCTTCCACTCCTGCAGCGGCTGGAGGAACCTCAGCCTATCGGTCTCTCGGGGAGGGCTGGCGGAGGAGTCGGTTTATTGGGGATTTAGGGGTAGGTTTAGGCTCTTTGGTTTTGGGGGTATTGGTGGGGAGATAGGTGAGAACCAATTCAAAACGAGTTAGCAAGCACATTCCGCCGGCATCTTCTTTCGCCCCCGACTTCCTGCGGCTCTGCCCGAGGGCGGGCTCCCTGGACCACATTAGGGCCCGCCGCCGCGTGCCAGCTTCGTTCCCGGCCGAAATTTGAAAAAGGGGAAAACGACGCGATCGACTGGAGGTCCCCCGCCAGCCAGGACTGGTCACCCGCAGAGGAGGAGGAGGAGGACGACGACGACGACGACGATGTGGATGGCGGCGCTGGCGGCAGGGACCGGCGTCCCTCCTTTGCGCGCCTGGCCGGGGCCAGCCAGCCGCCGCCCCGAGCGAGGGGTCTTGCCCGCGTGAGCTCGGTCCCTGCGGCTCCCGCCCCTGTTGCGCCCAGAGCTCAGCCACAGATGTCCAGCCACAATTCTCGGTTGGCCGCAGACTCGTACAAGAATTGCGTTTGGACAATCAGTGGCGAAGCCCCTGAGTTCAGGGCCCCGGTCTCCTGCGGGGTTCCGCTTCGCTCCTTAAAAGCGCCAGACCAGGAGATCTCCGGAGCTGCGCGTCCGACTGCCTCGCAGACGCTCAGCGGTCGCGGCCCATCCCGCGGTAAGGTGGATGAGCAAGCACGCGGATCCCGACCCTGCATGGGGATCCCCATCGCCCCTGGCGTGTGTCTCCTTCGATTGGCCCGGGGTCCCCAGAGTAGCCCGCGTTGGGTCTCTGCGCCGCCACAGGTCAGGGGAATCTCTTCCGTCAGGCCCGGGGAACCCCGACTCCCCTCTCCCCGCCCCCAGCCTGGGCTCCCCGAGCTCGCCAGGAATCCGAAAAGCGGGGGCCCAAGGCCGGGTGGCGTTTCCGAGCCCGGGGTCCGGGCTGCTGGACGCGTGGGTCCCCCGCCCCCGCCGTCCCCGCGCACGCACCGGCTTGGGCGCTCTCCGCTTCCCTGTGGCTGAGTCGCAGCCGGGGCTCCGGCGGTAGCAGTGGCCCCGGCGGCTGGGAGCGCTGGAATGTGCCGCCGGGTCACCTGCCGTGCCCGGGTAGCCGGGCTGGAAGCCGGCGGGCTGGCGAGGCGCAGGGCTGAACCCGAGCGGGCGCCTCTGGCGGCTCGGGGCCGGGGCGGGCTTTTAGTGGGCCGCTCCAACAATACGGGCCTGGCGCGGAGAAAGGGGCTCGGCTGCAATTGGTACTGGATTTGAATAACGCCACGGGGCCATCAATGGTCATTGTGTCGGCGGGTAATGAATCTCCGCTGTCTCTCGGGCTGGCCAGGCAGCTGCAACCTGCGCTCAGGCAGCTCTTAAAGACATAGCGTGCCCCTCCCCAGGGATGCCCCCCCTCTGCACCGGCCGGACCCCTCGCCCTCCCACCCCCACCCTGCGTCCTAGACTCCCAGTGCCCCGCCTGCTCCCTCCGCTGAACCCTTTGCCCATGGTCCCCGCCCTCCCTCTTGGGCCAGGCACCCGCATCTCGGGCCCTGCACTCTCATGGACCTGACTGGGCCCCTGGCCTTGGCTGAGCTCCCCTAGGGACTTGCAAGTCCCAACCCTGGCCTCCAGGCTGCATCTAAACTGAGGCCTCTGGAGCCCTCCTTCCTTAAGCTCCTGCCCCAGGGGCTTCTAGCTGGAGGGTGAGGGGGAACAGTCTGGAGGTCAGAGGGTCACCCCCTTAAAAGCCTGCCGAAGCATAAGGGAAGGGATGCAGTCCTGACCCCCCAGGTTGAAGATGCCATCTCTAGTGACCACACCCCCACTAGGAATCTGTGGACTGTGGGGACCAAGGACAAGAGCTTGATTCCCAGGACACATCCTGCAGGCTCCTGGATACCTCAGCTCTAGCAGGGGGTGTGTGTGGAGGAGGGGTGGGGGGAGCAGGGGGGAGAGGGGCGTGGAATTGAGTAATGCTGTTTTGTCATTGTCTGTTCCACTGGACAGCCCACCGATCCAGGAGGACAGGGGCTCTGCCTAGCTCTGAGGCACCACGCACCCCCATCCCTGCCAAGTCTGGTGTAGAGAAGGTTCTCAGTCTACTGGGAGATACGTACCCGGCTTCTCGCCCACAGAGCTCAGCCTAGCTTTCCCAGTGCATCTCACACACCTGCCCTCCATGCACCCCAGGGCTCCCCAGGCCCCCAGAGTACCCCTGCCCTGCCCCGCAGATCCTCTCTTCTCACAGTCTGTGGGACCCCTCCACATGCCTGGCTGAAGTGTGATTATCGGTGCATCTATTCTTACTCGGACAGGAGGTCTGATCTTTGTGTCTCCTGAGCCTAGTACAGTGCCCTATCCCCCAATCAACCTTCAATATCCTTTGGTGACTTAAAAATGAACCATGGAAACCTCTGAGTGTTTTGTACAAAAGTTGAAGAAATATGGCATCTGGGGAGTAATACTTAAAGTGGGGGTTTTCTAGAGAGGGAGCCCTGCCAACCCAACTCCCAGGTACGCTCTATCAGATAATAATAATAACAACAAAAGCCACAACAAGTGCTTTATGTGCCAAGCACCGTGGGCTTTAAAGGTAGCAGCCTACTGAGGACTCACAACAACCCTGGGAAGTTGGTACTGTTATCAGCCCCATTTTACAGATGAAGAAACTGAGGTCGGTGGCAGTTAAGTCTCTAGTCTGCAGCTGGCAGGTGATGGAGCCAGAGTGGGAACCCGGGGTTGTGGAACCCGCTGCACACTAGTTTCCCAGGCTTTACTTCACCAATATGGAGGGAACTGACGTAAATGCACCCTGAAAACGCAAGACCCAGAACACCCTGTGTCTCCTTATAAATTAGAACCTGGTGCTGGCCCTACCTTGGTCTGGCAGGAACACAGCCTTGACGGAGCGGCCATGGTGGCTTCTGCAGGAGTGGAGAACTCTCAGGCCTGTTGGGGAAGCCACCGGGGGGGGGGGGGGGGGGATGCCAGGGCTCTTTAAAGCCATCAGTCCTGGGCAGAAAAGGGCTTATTCACCTCACCCTCAGGGAAACTGAGGAGAGGCTAGAAGGGTCCTACGGCTAGTCATTGAATAGATATTTATAGAGGGCCTACTGTGTGCTAGCTAGGGACTCAGCAGTGGGCAGATGTCCCCAAAGGAGATGCACAGGGGAAGCCGGTCAGGAATGGGGACAGCTAGCTGCCCGGATCAGTGAATGGGGAGTTCGGTGAAGGTGAGCAGGGCGCTGATGCTGGCATCCTTCCAGGCAGAGGGAAGAGCTTGCTCCAACGCTAATAAGCAAGAAAGAACTTGGGGTGCGTTCTGGAAGGAGAAATCAGGCATGGCTGGGGCGCGGAGAGGAAGAGAAAGTGGGAGGTAAAGCCGGGGTGACCCTGCCTGGCCCTATAGGACACTGGGAGGATTTGTGATTTTTATCCCACCTGCAGTGGGGATCCTGAAAGGTCTGCCAAACTCAGATTTACATTTTTAAAGGTTTGCTGGGGCTGATGTGTAGAGAATGGACTGGGGGGGGGGGCAAGCTGGACCACAGGAGACCAATTAAGTTACTGCTGGTTTGCAGGTGAAAGCTTAGGGTGGCCTGGGCTTAGGTGAGGCAGAGCGGGGTCTCAAACTGTGTTCTTGGCCACGCTGATGGCCTTAGGCTGGTCACTTGGCAATGAATCACATTTAGTGAGCACCTGAGGTGTTCTTTGTATATGTGGAGTCTGGTGGGAGGGGGAAGAGAAAGATGAACCATATGATATTGCCTCCATAGAAGTATCCAGCCAGCTCCAGTGAACGGAGCAGAGCCATAGGAAAACACTTCAACTGAAGTATTAGCCAAATTCCCTGGGACTAGAGAAGACGAGCAATTCATCCCAACAGGGAGGCTATGGGAAAACTTCTGGAGGAGGCGGCATCGACTTGGGCTTTCAGGGCAAGTGAATTCTAATAGCCTGAACCTTAATTACTGCCTCTGACATGGAGCCCTTACGCCTGTCCTGCCTCCCTATGGATGGTTGGGGTTTGGGGAGGATACAAACACACCTTGCATTGGCTTGCAGTAAAGTTGTATCATTATCTTCACACACACACGCACACACGATACATGTTCAGGCTCATCCATGCACTCAGTGGTTCCTAGTCCCTGCTCTCTCCCTTCTTTACACCAATGCTCAGGAAGAAGGTAACAAAGTCATCCACACTGCCAGTTAAGCATGGCCTTCCCCCCAGAACTGGCATTTCACCAAACATTGTGCCTAGCACAAAGGACCTGCTCAGTAAATGTCTGTTGAATGAATGAATGAACGAATGAATGAATGCCTTATTGGAGTAATAATTAAATGAATGGGTGGATGGACAGATAGATGAATGAAAAAACAGATGTTGAGACACTTGAATGAAAGATGAATGAATAAAGAATTGACTGGGTGCATGAATGCAGCCAATCAGCTAAAGTTTGAGGTGTGGAACTGGAGGCATTGCTGTGGGTGGGGCTCGTTAAAGGGGCCAACAGGGAGCTTCTTTCATGCTGTGGCCTCGATTCTGTTTCAAAGGCAAGTCCAAGGTCCAGAGCACTGTAGACAGGTGCCCAGGGAGCAGTTGTGGCAACAGGTTGGTCGGGCTGCACCTCTGTGCCAGATATTTCCAACTTTGGAGTCCAGTCCTTAAATGTTCCCATCAAACCACATTTCCCTGAGGCCTGGCCTCAAAGCTTGGGCTCTGCCACTTCTCGGTGTGCCTCCCCAGGCCAGCTGCCGCCTGCTTGGGGCTCCAAATGCCCCATCTGTACAGAGTTCTCATAGAGCAGCAAGTGCTCTTACATGGTGACCGGCTGAGTAGCCTGCCTTCAGAAATGAACTGACAACCTGGCATGTCCCCCGTCTCAGAAGATGACAAAGCCAGGCTACTGTCCCCACGCAGAGGGGACGCCTAAGATTCCCTCAGCCCTACGTAACATGTTTCAGTTTATAAAAGATGTCTGTCCCCATGAGATGGGTGAGAGCAGGGCAAGGCAGCCTTTCAACTACAGCAGCACACCTGGGCGCTTCTTCCCTTTCACGTCGTGCTGCTGTCTTCATTGCACGTGCTGCTCTCTGAAAGCCTCCGACTGACCAGCTGTCTTACTTGTCTCTCCACTAGAATGTCAACCCTGTGTGGACAGGGAACAGGTCCTGTTCATTGCTATATCCCAAGCACCTAGAACAATGCCTGACCCTTACAAGGTGCTAACTTTTGTTAACTGCTTGGGTAAAGGAATAAATAGACCTGCAGATGCATGGGTCATGGTAATCCAGGTGACAGTACCATATGTGAAGCACTGGGTGCTGGGCTAGCACTTTGCATGGATCACTCCAGCTTTGTGAGAAATGCCATTACCCTCCCAACTTTGCAGACCAGGGGCCTGAGGCTCAGAGGGAGGAAGTAACTTTTCCCAGGGACAGAGCTATTGAATGACGGCGCCAGGTTTTCAACAGCAAAGCCCACATCCTTTACCATGCCACCATCTGACAACTTTTACTCTATTACCCCAGCACTCAGTGAGGTCGACCCAATGGAAGTTAAAATTTGGGACTCAGACATATGGTATGATTCCATTTATAGAAATATCCAGAATATGAAAATCTATAGAGACAGAAAGCAGATCAGTGGTTGCCTAGGGCTGGAGGGAGAGGAAGTTGGGGGAAATGAAGAGCAAAGGTTAACGCGTACAGACTTCCTTTTTGGGGTGATGAAAATGTTCTAAAATTGATTGTGGTTGATGGCTGCACAATTATGTGAATACACTAAAAACCATTCAATTGTATATTTTAAGTGGGCAAATTGTATGGTATGTGAATTACAGCTCAATGAAGCTGTTATCAAAAACAAGAGTTGGAGCTCAAGAATCTCACCTCTGCCATTTACCTGCGAGGCACGTCCCTTCACGTCTCTGAGCCTCAGCTTCCTAACCAGCAAAATGGGAAAAGTAAATGTCTCATGGGGTTATCATGAGCATTAAATGAGATAATGCATGCCATTATCCCCCATTTTACCAAGGACGAAAGTTAGGCTCAGAGAAGGGAAGTGACTTGGCCCAGAATTCACAGCTAGTGGATGACAGGTGAGGGACTGGGACCTGGGTCTCTTGGCACCACTTCTTCTAGCATTATGTAGACTGTGCATCCCTTCACCCTCATCACCACCACCCTTCTGCTCCACTCTCCACCATCTCCTGGGCTCTGAGGCCCTGTCTCCCCACTGCCCATGGCTGGGCACACTGAGGTATCAAGGTCCCCCCAGAGCACAAGACCCCGTCTCCCCCAGCCCCCACCCTGTTCCCCTCCTGG